TCCACATCTTGCCAGTTTATATGCTGATAAAGGTATTTATAACATTTGTTGAGTATCTAAAGTTAGTAGTTTATGCACAATAAATATAATGTGCTTTTAAAGTAGAAATATTTTAAAAAATCTTTAATAGTTTATCGTAATTAAATGCCATTAGAATTTTTTCTGGGCTTGTTTTTCATCGTTTCAAAATGGCAACTTTCAAGTAAACAAGAAGGAGATAATCACATGTCAAAGAGCGTTTAATATTAAAGGATTTCAAAATGGCCAGCAGAAGTAAGTAGGTGTATATATAAATGTGTATAAAATTTGAGATGATGTATGAAGCAATAGTAATGAAATTTCAAAATATCTCAATGTTTTCAGACATCAGCGCATGATGTAAATAGATGCTTTAGTACTGTATGCAGCTTACTTAAACACAGTAACATCATTACTCTTAGGGTTAAAGTTTAATATTTTTATTTATCTGCATTAAAAGAACGTACGTTTCGTTTTAAATAGTCGATGACAATCACTGTAAAAAATGAAAAGGCAGTATGACCATACAACATGCAATCGTTCTTAGACAGGTCAACGGTAAGTTTCTGGGGATTTATGTTGTTTCACCCCTAATCCCCAACCAACAATAGGGCAAAGCCACACCACTAAAAACATAATAATATTTTTTCCCCCAGAATTAAGTGAAATATAGAAATATAAAGGACCTAGGAGTGGTTTGAATGGGGGAGGAGAGCCAACCTTCAAGACTGATACTTTGTATGAACTGCTAATGTTGGTTGTAGACATTGGTCGGCAAAATCGGTCTCCACACTACTGATGATAAACGTGTAAATATGGCCCTATGTATAGAGATACTCCATGCAGAGCCATCCGAAAGAGGTTTGTTTTGGATCTTATACGGGGGTCATTCTAAAAAAAAAGAACATTTTGATCTGTCAAGCTGTGCAGTTCACCTACCACCCTCCACTGCTGTGTCATGGACCTTCCCATGTTTTTGTGCCAGTCTGATGCTAATAGTGAGCCACAATAATCGTTTACTGTTTACAGTGTGACTTTGAAGTGTGTGACAAAATTAAAGATCCCACCAAGTGTAAGGTTCATAGTGTAATATGCTTTTTGAATGTGAAAAAAATCGTATCGAAATTTACAGACAGATAACCAAAGTTTATGGTAATGTGATAAATGAAGCTTCATTTCAAAACAAATGGCAGGGATTGTTGTCCAGAGGCATTGTGCTTCTTCAGGATAATGCATGTCTGCATGCTGCTACGTTGACAAAGAACTTGCTTCAGCAGCTTAAGTGGGAAGTTTTTGAACATCTTTCTTATAGCCCGGACTAGGATCCGAGTGATTACATTTTTTCCCAAAATTGAAGGATTTTTTAGCCAAGAATCACTATGGAAGTGAAAATGAACTGAAAGAGGCCGTTAATGACTGGTTCAAGAACTTGGCAGTAACTGAGTGTGCAGAAGGCATAGAAAAGCTGATGATATGCTATACAAATGTTTAAATTTGTATGACGACTATGTAGAAATATAGCTAAGGTATCATATATGTTGTAAAATAAGTTTTGTTTCATTATCTTAAATAAAAATATCTAGAGAAACAAATGTTCTTTATTTTTAGAATGACCCTTGTATAATACTAGGGATTGCAAACATTTTCCTTTATAAAATGAAGGTTCACAAAGTTGAAGCCTTGAGGTATCTTACATTCTTAGAAATCAAAATGAGACTTAAAGCAGATATTTTCCTGCAGTATATACTGCTCTTTTTCTACATTATTGTTTTTAAACACTATATGATAATAAAGTATTGTTTTTTTTGTTTAGAACTATCCATTGCACTTATTCAAATGGCCGTTACGGCTTCTAAAGAAGCAAATCTTGAAAAAGCTTCGGAGTTAATAGCAAAAGCTGCCGGTGAAGGTGCCAAATTGGTGTGTTTGCCCGTGAGTATATAAATTTATATGTAATTTTTGCTATTATATTATCTGTTTGAAACTTAATGAAATACATTCTGTTTAGGAATTTTTCAATAGTCCCTACGATTTGCGTCATCTTGATGTTTATGCTGAAAAGATACCGGGTCAGACAAGTACTGTTTTATCAAATGCTGCAAAAAACAATAACATATATTTGATTGGAGGTATGTTTTGCAATTTATACATAAAGAATTTTATTACACAATTTTGTATTTATCAATGTTTTAATATAGAGATAGTTTTTTTCCAGTTCATGTTTGATAAGCATTTAAAAGTGATTCAATTAGAGTATAGAGAAATTGTAAATTTCTGTTTTAGTAAGATAGAATTATCATATGAAAAAACATCTGTTGATAATTAAAAAAAATAGTTTAAGTATATCTTTAAAAACAATTTGAAATTATTGATATTTAAGTACAGTAGAGCATCAATTATCCGAATACCAATCAACCAAAACATTGGTTAACCGAAAGCATTCCAATCAGAAAATTCAAATTTCTGGTAGTTCTGTGGCGCTGCAGCTCTCTCACCCTTCTTTCGAACTTAAACTGTAGGCCTACTTTAATGTATTACTTTATTTAAGGTATGTATTTGTAAGACGTGTGATACAAAATATACAGTACAGTTTCGTGTTTAATATATTTTTTCATAAATGATCAGTTATCCGAACAACCCCAGTCCCGAATTGTTTTGGATAATCAATGCTCTACTATAGTTTTAAATTGTCATTTGTGTAAATTATCACAAAAACTAACTTTCAAAATGTTGCCAAACATACTTTTGCTAAATTTAAAAGCTAGTATTTCTCAGGAATATATTATTGCCATGCTGAACCTGATATATTTAAATGTAGACTTTACCTTTGTATCAGATGAAAATTTTATAAACTTGAAGATGTCTGTAGCAGGGGTGCCTAGACTTTTTGCTGTAAGAGCCCTAGTTACCTACCTGAAATTTTGGGAGCCCCACCTAAAGTTCTTGGTATAAAAATAAAAAAATTTCAGAATCATAATGTATTTATTTTGACAATTAAAGTAAGTTGTTTTTACATATTTATTACATTTTTTTAAATCTTACTCTTTGCTAGTTGAAGGTTTATGAATTTGTGATGTTGAAATTAAGTTTTGATAATCAGGTTGATAATTAGATAATTGAACTTCTTATTAATTCTTTTAAATGTTGATTGGTTAACTGTGAATGGAACTTCAATTTAATCAATTTTATCATTGAGTACAATGATTCAACAGCATATGTTGATCCAAAAATTGACAGTAAACGATATGCTGCATTTTTTAAATTGTTTTACTTAATTATTGGTACACTTTTCCAAAATTCAGTGATTGATTTTGCTGATTTATGTAACATTTGGAGACCTTGACTTCTTGTATTTCAATTAATTTTAATTCCAGTGTATTTACAAGATACAGAAATTTTAAAAAATAATAATATTTTTTACTTATTAGTTGAGTCACAATTAAGCTCATGAAGTGTTTCATATGGCTCACGAGCCACAGTTGGGCATTCTTGGCTTATAGAATAGGTTGAAAACGTTTTTAACCTATTCTATAGGGCAAGAATATTATATTATTATTAAACAATTATCACAAATTATTATTAATTCTATATTATTAAACAATCATCACAAAGCACCTTAGCGAATTAAGGTGCTTTGTGATGATTGTTTAATAATTAAGTCTACACTGAGTGTGGTGTTGAGGTTACTATATCAGATATTCTAATTTAGGAAAAATCCACTAATTCATTAAATATAGATTCATGATTCATTAAATATATCAAAAATACTAAATAATCTAATAATTTNTCCAGTCATTCCAAAACTATGTCTCATTTATTAACTACATTTTAGAGCAGACTAATTTTATTTTGCCATTTAGTATCTTGTATTTGACTCTCTTATTTTTCAAATAATGATATCAGTGTTTTTATTATAACTGATCTTACGATGGTAATGCTGGATTAAGGTGTTTAGTGTAAATATGTAAATCTCTCTAGAGTTAGAAGTTAGAAGACAATCTATCAGAAGTTAGAAAGACAAGAAATTTTTGCAATATTATATATTAAAGTAATCTTTGTGTTGTTAATGAGAAATTTTATTTTAGTGAAAAATCCATTTCTAAGAGTATTTACTGGACAGT